ACCAATACCAAAGTCAAAGTTAGAAATATATGAATTTTTCGAGGCTTTTGGGGGATCTATAAAAACTATTTAGTATTAAAAAATGTTTAAATAAAAAATTTGGTATCGTTGTCGAAAGTCTTCTAAAGAGAAGCAGAGTTTTTCGATCGAAAAATATTGATTTTCAAGAATTCCACACCATTTTTACAAAAAAGTGTTTTTCCGATATATAACACTGCATAACAGTATATCTGATGATTAGGTTATGTTATATGATACTAGACTAATTTTTAATGACGACTTCAAATCTGTGATTGGAAGTTCTATACTAGCTCTGGTTTGGAAAAGAGCGCAAATGGGTCTTTTTACAATAAAAACAAAAACTATATATATTTATAGTTGATCTAATTTTATTAAGATTTTAAGTTGAAAAAAAAACTTTTTTATAAGACTTTCTTGCAGAAGTTGAAGGTAGAGGGCTGTTCTGAATGCTTCACCAATAACTCGTTAACAAGATATGCTAGAAAATAAATTAGGGTACTTAGAACCAACGCAGAAGATGCCCATCTTTGTACAAACTACATCTTTTGTATTTTTCATTTTACTGACTATTGATTTAAAAACTTGATTAAAGGAATTTTATTTTCTGAAAAAAAAAATATCGTAACTCATAGATGGGGTAATATGCTAATTAGTTTTCATTGCATTTCTCTTGGATTTTTTTTAGTTTAGGTCTACCTGGAGGGCATCTACTTACACATATGGATGTGAATATTTACATATGCACGTAGGCAGTTACCCATGGCAGCGGTGAGCTGATGTCGAGCGATATCCGAATACGACAATAAAAGAAAAGGTAACTTAGTCATTACCCAAAGTTGTAATTAATTAATGTTCTATGGTTTGCGTGTGGTACCGATTTCATTAATTAGGCTACGGATACGCTTGATGAAAGATATCCTGATAAGGATCCAAACGACATGTACATATGTATGTGTTTGTGTGCTTGCGAGTGCGTGCTTTGTGAAAATGATGAATGTACAGGCATAAGTATATGTACATATATATGTATGTATGCTACGTAAGTAAATATTGTTGAAGTGAAATTTCTTTAGCGGGGGTAGTGAAATAAAATATGGTAACAGAAATTGTGTGACACTTGCGACGCAACGGAAGTGCTTCAATTTTCCCTTTCTCTATTTCCGCCTTCAATAATATTGAGTTATAGAAATATGCTAAGCAAAGGTAGAGGGAGAGAGAGAGAGAGAGAGACGAATACGGATACAGATACGAAGGTGAATACCAAGAGCACGAGTAAGACGACGAATGCGAAGGCGAAAACGAACACAAACACGAATACGAACATGAAAACGAATACAGAGACGAATGCAAAGACGATGATGAAAGCTATGACAAGTCCGAAGACGAATGCGAATACAAAGACCAAGGGAAAAACAAACACGAACACAAACAAATACGACCAGTATAATGATTATGAAGACGAATACGAATATGAAAACGAAAACGAAGTCGAAGTCGAACACGGAAACGAAGACAAAAATACGAGAGCGAACAAGAAGAGGAATACGCGGTCGAATAGAAAGAGGGACACCATGACGAATAGACTAATACGCAGAAGAAAAAAAATCAAGTTACTGATGAAGAAAATCGATGGATAAATAGAAGTAATAAGTGGTCAAATGAAAATTCGCAAAGATTTTTTGTATGAAATATGTGCAGAAAAACGTGTTACTCAGGTTTACGTGGCGTATGAGTAACTTTCTTTGCTGCTAATTTTTCGTACGAAAAATCTATGCGTATTTTCATTTGACCACTCATTAGTTCTTATTTATGCATCGATTTTCTTAATTGGTAATTTGACTTTTTTTTTGTAACAAACAGGTTTTAGCACAAATGCAAAAATTTGGCACAGAACCTGATATTTTTTAAATTTTTCTTCTGTTAAAGTTTGATTTTTTAAAGCTGAATAACGGTTAATTGAAAATATCTCGAAAAAGTACCCATAAAAACAAAAAACATTAATTCGATTTTAGGAATCACCGAGCAATTCTACATACGAATTGGATAGTGGCATCCATAGAACATTTTTGCTGTAAGCCAGTGAAATCAATTTTTTTTAAAGTAGTCTTTCATTTGATAACAAATCTGTTACAGGAAATGACTTGTTTCAAATTTAAAATATATTTGGCCAAGTTGACTTAAACAAAATTAACTGCTATTTTCGGTCACTGTTAAAAATACATGAAAAATATAGCGCTCCAGGCAGATTTCTATTGAAAGACACTTACAAAACCAATTTGTGTATTAGAATCCAAAATTCATAGTTTACTTAGAGAGTTTGATAATGCTTTGTAATTCCTTTATGAATTGAGCAAATTTATCATTAATATCTATCAAAAAAAAAAAAAAAAAAAATCTATGTGAAGAGCCTTTAAAGATTACTCCCTCTTCGAATAGCAAAATATCATACAAACACTCAAATCGGCAATTTTCAAGAATAAAAAACATTGAATAGGATATCTCCTCTTTCGTTAGTCAGGTCTGCGAAACTTAACTTCTGCCAATAATTATGTTTTTTTTTACTAATATCTAGGTATGCTAAATTAAAATATAGCCCCGATTTTCCCATTGAAGTCGGTTTTGTTTTTTACTTAAGACATACTTCTTTCTCTCTGATGTAAGGTTTTTTTTAAAGAACTTTGAAATTATAAAAATATAATTACCTACTTCAAAAAAAAAAAAAAAAAAAAGTGCAATG